TCCACTCACCAGTGCCCACACACACGTGTATCCACTCACCAGTGCCCCCACACGTGTATCCACTCACCAGTGCCCCCACATGTGTATCCACTCACCAGTGCCCACACACACACGTGTATCCACTCACCAGTGCCCCCACACACACGTGTATCCACTCACCAGTGCCCACACACACGTGTATCCACTCACCAGTGCCCCCCCACACGTGTATCCACTCACCAGTGCCCACACACACGTGTATCCACACACATGTGAACATGCATTCTTTTCGTTTGTGACAGAGAATTACCTTACACAAAGCACCAGTTTCTGACTTCATTGTTCACCTCAGGTCAGCCCCTAAACACTCAGGGTTTTTAGTTGTCATTGATCTGTGTTTGTTTTGCTTTGGAGACAGGGTTTCTAGCCCAGGCTGGCCCCTAACTTCCTTATGTAGTGTTGAAACACGCCCCCCAAGACAGGGTTTCTCTGTGTAGCCCTGGCTGTCCTAGAACTCACTCTGTAAACCAGACTGGCCTCAAAAGATCCTCTGCCTCTGCCTCCCAAATATTTTGATTGAAGGTGTGCACCACCACTGTCTGGCTAGCCTTAAGTTTCTGACTCTCCTTCCTCTATCTCCCCAGTGCTAAGAATTGGTTTTTTGTTTTGTTTTGGTTTTTTGTTGTTTGTTTTCTAGAGATGGGGTCTCGTTATATAGCCCTGGCTGGCCTAGAATTCTCTGTGTAAAGCAGCCGGCCGTGCAGCACCCAGGGTTAAATGTATTATAAATCAGCATTACTGCGCTGGCTTACATGGTGCCTCCTGCGCACTAGGCAAGCCCCAGAACCTTTTGGTTGGTTGGGTTTTGTTTGTCTTTTAAAGAGTCTAATACAGCTGAGGCTGCCCTGAACTCCTGGACTCCCCCTCACAAGGGCTGGTATTCCAGATGTACCACCATACCCGGCTTTTGAACCTGGTTTAAGGTCACTGTCTAGTGACCAGGGAAAAGCTTTAGAAAATGACAGTTTTCCTTCCCAGTGATTTTATGAGGAGTGCACATGTAGATATTCCTTAAGAATGGAAACATTGCTTTCAGCATACACTTCCCCAATAACATAAACCCACAGATTATGCACGGAGTCAGAGCAATCAAGATTACGTAAGGATTAACCTTGCTACAATGGACCACAATTACAGGAAGAGAAGAGAACTTACGCTTCGAGCCTCAGAGTGACCAAGTGACAACGAAGTCGATCAGCTCTGCAGTGACATCAGCTGGTTGTCCCCTACTTTGATCTTGGAGGGGATTTGAGAAAATTGTCTCCTGTGGGAAACTAACATAAATTATATTGTATGCTGTTGGTCTTGCTGAGAGCGAGATGGTTCCCCTCATCTCAGACTCAAGTCTGTTTGACCTAGGAGCCCTCCAGACTCCCTCTCCTGGGCAGGCCGGCTCCTGGGCCTCTAATATAGACAAAGAGCAATCAGCTAAAGGTGTTGAAAACACTGCCCCCCGAGGACTTCGAGAAGCAGAACCCTTTCCAATGGCGGCCACTCCAGCTCATCCCATGGTATCAAGGCGTCTGTGGTGGGAGCCGCCAGAGGGGGTTTAACACCGCGGTGTCCCGCTGGGTGATGCCAACTCACTGCTTTATCTATCAGCTGCTTGTTCTGTGTGGAAGTCCCACACAGGGACACAGGGGAAACACTCTGTCCCGCCTACCTCTCCCTCTCCTCCTCCTCCCTCTCCCTCTCCCCCTCCTCCCTCTCCCCCCCCCCTTGGAAACTTTTAAGCTCCTGACAGGAGGTCATTTCCCTGCTGCTTGCTGTTCATCCTTCCCCTTTTGTTTGCTAATAAGCCTAAATTGTTGAGAACAGAAAGCACAGCTATCCCAGATCATTCTCTGGATGAAACAGACTCTAAGGTGGCCTGGAGACACAACCACACTGACATCAGGTTGCACTGAACAGAGACCCAAGGCCACATCTATGTTGACAGTCCCTACTCACAGACCCCACAAAGCTATGCTGTTCTCCACTGACTTCCTTGCTTACAGGTCTTGATGAAAACAATTCCTGACAGAAACAAGAATTTTAAACTAGCTGTTTAAAAGAAGCTTGTGGCCGGGCGGTGGTGGCGCACGCCTTTAATCCCAGCACTTGGGAGGCAGAGGCAGGCGGATTTCTGAGTTCGAGGCCAGCCTGGTCTACAGAGTGAGTTCCAGGACAGCCTGGGCTATACAGAGAAACCCTGTCTCGAAAAACCAAACCAAACAAACAACAACAACAAGAGAGAGAGAGAGAGAGAGAGAGAGAGAGAGAGAGAGAGAGAGAGA